CCGTTTTCGTAAAGTATAACCAAAGTTTTGAGCATTTGAGCCGCCATGTTTCCTGCCAGGTAAGCAACGCTTCGCAACGTGGTGACGTCATTCGGGGCGACTGAAATCGATAAGGGAATCGTTTGCAAAAATGGCAAACAATTCCAAGGAATTGAAACAGTGGGAACCGGGTTTTGATACCCATCCCTACTCTCCCACCATGTCTGAAATTTTCTGCATTCTCTTTCTACCTTTCGCTTCTTTGGTTCTGCCATGTTTAGTAACTGGGGGTAAATTTCTTCTGTGATTGTCCTTTTCGGCTGAGCAACTGCCTTGATCAACAGTAGCTCCCCCTGGTGTTAAAACTAAGAAGTGCAATACACTCAAGGAAAAGTTGAAGTGCGGGCCATATTCTATTCTATTTATAAAATTACTTGCGGGCCAATTAAAAATGGATTGCGGGCCGCTCTTCAGTCGTTGATTGTTGTTATACATACGAGAGAGGAACATGAGAGGATTGTGATCAGTGAAGACCTCTACAGGTTGGGAAGTATATCCCACACAAAATGTTGAAGAGCAAGGAGCATGGCCAGAGTCTCCTTTTCAATTGTCGAGTACCGTCTTTGATGAGCATCGAACTTCTTGCCAAAGAAGCAGAAAGGATGACTCACTCCTTGTCCATCATCTTGAAGAAGAACAGCTCCAGCCCGCACCTCACTGGCATCCACTTCAAGCTTGAACAGTTTAGAAAAGTCTGGAGCAACAAGAACAGGTGAACTCGACAGAAGACCTTTTGCACATTCAAAAGCATGTTGACACTCAGGACTCCAAGTGAATGGTACCTTTGGGCTGCACAGGTTTGTCAGTGGTGTTACAACTTCAGAAAAATTCCTACAGAAACACCTGTAGTAACCAACCATCCCTAGAAATCTGCGCAGCTCATGGCATGTTGTTGGCACAGGAAAGTTGAGGATGGCACTAACCTTTGCACTCAGCTCAACTTCCTTTCCAAGGTAAGTAACTGTAGCCTTACCAAACTCGCATTTAGCCAAGTTGAGGGTCAAGGAAGCATCAGCTAAATGCTTGAACACAGTGGCTAAAGTGTCGACATGCTCTGACCAGTTGGAAGAATAACCACATCATCAAGATAAACATTACAGTTTGCCACACCAGATAATACAGTTGACATTAACCTCTGGAAGGTAGCGGGAGCATTTCTCATTCCAAATGCCATCACTGTATATTGTAAAAAGTGATCAGGTGTTACGAAAGCTGAGATTTCTGATGTTCTTTTTGTCAAAGGAACTTGCCAATAACCTTTAAGAAGGTCAGGCTTACTCACAAAAGCAGCAGATTCGACACTGTCAATACAGTCCTCAATACGGGGCAGTGGGAAGGAATCAGGCACTGTTACTGCATTTACCTTGCAGAAATCTGTGCAAAAGGGAGGTGTTCCATCTGATTTTGGCGTAACCAGGCACAGAGAGCTCCATGGACTATAGCTTGGGATAGCCAATCCATGCTTCAGAAGGTAGTCTGCTTCTTTGTTTATCATTACTCTTTTTGTCATATTCACAAGGTAAGCATGCTGCTTAATAGGCACTGCATTCCCAACATCAATGTCGTGCTCTATTACAGTAGTACGGGAAGGCATGTCCCCAAAGAGTTTTAAATGAATGTTGACAAGCCTTTCAATGTCCAACTGTTGCTCACGGGTCAAGTGAGAAAGATATGTAGACAACTGGGACGGTACCTCAGAATTAAGCATTCTGGCACTCTGGTAGCTGGCATCACAAGGTTTGAGCCCATCTTCATCTAAACTCGACCTCAGTCCTGAGGAAGAGTTCAACAAGAGAGTTTCTGGAGATGAGATTTGCTCTGACGGAGATGCCACAGACTTATCTGCGGGACCACAGAGAGGATCAGCTCTAGAATGAAAAGATTTGAGCATATTGAGATGGCACAAGCGTGTTTTATGCTTCCTGTCTGGTGTTTTAATCACATAGTCAGTGTCATTTACTTTCTTATCCACCTGGTATGGTCCACAGAAACGGGCAGATAGTGCAGAGCTAGCAGTTGGTAGAAAAACCAAAACCTTGTCACCTGGATTGAAAGATCGAGGAACAGCTTTCTTATCATACCAACTCTTCATCTTCCACTGAGCAGAGGAGAGGGCTTCTGCAGCTGCCAACCTGGACTTATGGAAGCGCTCTCTGAATTGTGAAACATAATCCAGAACATTAGTTTTCATCACATGGTCTGTTGACAAGAACTGTTCTTTCAACAACTTCAAAGGTCCCCGAACAGAGTGACCAAACACTAGTTCATTTAGGCTAAACCCAAGGGATTCTTGCTTAGCTTCGCGTATGGCAAACACCATCAGGGGTACTCCCTCATCCCACTCTTTTCCAGTATCCAAGCAGTATTTCTGCAACGTTGCCTTGAGTGTCTGATGCCAGCGCTCTAATGCTCCTTGAGACTCAGGATGGTATGCACTTGACACAACATGCTTAATCCCAAGAGTCTGCATGACGTGCTTGAAAAGTTTAGACAGAAATTTAGTTCCTTGGTCTGTCTGGACTACTTTCGGTAGACCAAAAGTAGTAGAACTTTGTCAAAACTATAATCGCCAAAGGTGCAGTTATTCTTCTGAGTGGGACAGCTTCTGGAAAACGAGTCGAAGTGCACATTGCAATCAGTAAAAACTGATTACCATTCTTTGTCTTGGGCAATGGACCAACACAGTCCACAATGACACGTTCAAAAGGTTCACCAAGTACTGGTATAGGATGAAGAGGAGCTATAGGAACTGTCTGGTTTGGCTTTCCTTTCATCACAAGCTGAATATACAATGTTTATAAATGTTCCTCTTAATAATTGTGCTTTGGTAAATGGATCAAATACATTAAACACAGTCTTTCTTAATGAAAAAGTACAAAATATATATAAATATATTATGGGTGCTGCCATATTGTGCTCCTTCCTGCATTCACTTTTGTAACTGAAAGGTATGCTCTCTCCTGAAGCATACCAGAGCATCCATTTCAAGGTGGAGGAAGTACTCAAAACAAGGAAGAAGGAACATACACACAAAACAATAACAACAGAAACAGAGAGAGAAGAATTACACAGTCATTAGGAAATAAGACAAAAGTCAGTCATCAGGTTAGAGTGTTTGAATGTCATCGGCAGTTCCTGCCGTAAAAATTATGCCTGTAGAAGCGATACCATAAAAACAAGAATAGCAACAAATATAAAGGAATTTGCCAAACCAAGAACAATCTTTCTTCACTAAAAAAACTTCTGTTTTTTTTTAAAGCCTAGATTTATCCCATACTTGCTCTTTATGCACCTCTCACTTCAGCTACCATTTCAAAATAAGTTGAAAACTAAATGAATAGTACATAAAAAATGGAGGATGCTCAAAATCAAATGGACAAATTGACACACTTTTAAATATTGTTTTTAAACATTGGATGAGGCAGTCAGTGACTACCTGCTGCCTAGAACCCTTGGAAATCACCAAATGCTGTTTTTCCTGCTTTGCCATCAGAGCCACCTTCAGTTGCTGCTTGACTGTGGGTTATTAAGCATTCAATCTTATATTTAAGAACTGAAAGCATCCTGTTTTGGAGCACACACGATAAATATGTTCTAGGTAGAGGAAGAACTCAAAACAAGGAAGGAGGAACAAAAAAGAACTTAAAAAACAAGAAGAAAATCAGATAGACTTCAGGGAATGGATCAGAGACGGAAGTTGGATATCAGATTAGAGTCTTTACTTTTGACCAACTTTGCAAAATAGTTCATGGAAAGTTTTTGTACAACCCTTTGTATTAAAGCTGAAAGTTTGCCCTTCAATCAGTTATTGATTCATTGACTTGATTGATTGGCCATCTCTCCAGCAGCTACAACTTGACTACAATCGGGCCATGCAAGAGGACAGCAAGCACAACAGCAAATCAATAACTGAATGGGTAAAATGCCATTTCACCTCCTGTATTCAAATGCAGCTCTAAGTACATACAAATAACCCCAGTTTTAATAGTACTTACAAATTTTAAATCACTCCAAAACGTAAAGGACAAACACAAGCTACATTCCAAACAAATTAAAGTATTGATATCCACATTTTTTAAAATGTAGCCTTCAATTATATGTTGGCTTTCACTCACTGAAATTTAAAAGCCTTTACTTTTTCAAAGCAAGTTAAAATAATTACACCTCTGGAAAATGACCAGCACCGAAAGATTGTTTGAGTTCAAGGCACAAAAAGTAAAACTTCAATCTGAGCAAAAAAACCGACTGGGTTACAATTAATGTATTTGTTTTAATATGTTCTGTGTAAAAAGGAAACAAAATGCATGCAACAATTTGTTTCCTCATAAAGGGAAACCCCCAGCTATCCCCACCTCCAATATAAACATATTTCTAATAGCAAGTGAAACTAACCTGGAAATCTTCACTGGGTTTAAACGCAACAAGACACACAACATCTCTGCTTCTTGCTCATTCACTGCAAAAATGCTTGGTAAGTTAATCCTATAACTCTAAAGACATAATGATATCTGCATTTTGAAAAATTAAATTTTAAATAACTGAAAAAGACAATTGGATAAAGTTTTAAGATTATTATCTATAAATCTGTAAGTTGCAGCAAGCCAAGCTGGATGCTTGTATTGAGAAAGGACAAATTATTATTTTATTAATCTTATCACCAGATTGCATTAAATATTTGATATGAGTAATGCAGCAAGGTCTGTTTTGGGAATTCAATTTAAATCTCAGTGGGACTCAGTGGGATAGAAACCGAGTAACAAATGCAACAGTGTGTCTTTGTGTGCGTTGTTGTTATTGTTGTACTAATTAATTATATATTATTATATTATAATTGCCATTATTCTCTTCTGTAAGGGTCAGTGAGGCAGTCTAAGGATGTATGGATCAACTTAACAGGCCCTGGATTTGGGCCTTTGACAGAGGCTTTCTTTGGGCCAACTATTACAGTTTTGCAGGAAAACATGGGACCAAAAGGAGTCACAGCACAAGCAGAAGACACAGGTATTCAAAAATAAATAAATAAACACAACTTTTGTGTGTGTGTCATTATGCAATATAATCTATGCAAGCCATTAACTATTTCCTCTCTGTGTACTGTAGCAAACTAGTTGAGTTAACATCAGGAATCATTTATGTGGCGACGTAAATAAACAGTCCTAAGCAAAGACAATAATTTCTATTTGTTATTCTAACTCATTTTGCTTTTTTAGTTCCACCAACTATGATTGTCATGGAAGGAAAAACAGCTTGGGTTCAAAAGTACATCAAAGGTAACAACATCTTTGAGGAGACATGAGTGTGACTCAGTTGCATTCCTTAAGTAAACCAAGCTTGCCCTGTTACAACAGAGTGCTCTCCTAGTCTCATGCTTTTCATATATGGAATAGCACAGAGGTATCCTGGGGAGCATATTTAAATTTTGAAAATGTTTTTCCCTCTAATAAGAGCACACATAGGTTATTAATGTTCTGTCTTCACTTTCAGTGGAAAAAATGTACAGGATTGTCCTGCTGGGAGGCAGTAAATCTGGGAAAAGCAGCCTAGCAAACAGCGTGTTTGGAGAAGATGTGTTCAAAGTTGACAACACTGAGTGTCAAACTGAGTCCAAATCTGTTCATGGAAGAAGAATTACCCTGATCAACACTCCTGATTTCTCTGGCCCAGGTAGATCAGAGGAGGAGCTGAAGCCTGAAATACTGAGGTGTGTCACTGAGTGCACTCCGGGGCCTCATGCTTTTCTCATTGTGCTCAAAGTGGAGAAATCCACGGAGCAGCAGCAGCAGCAGAAGGCTGTTTTTGAGAAAATAAGCCAGTATTTCTCAGAGGAAGTTTTCAGATATGCTGCAGTTGTCTTTATTCAGGATGGCCCAGACTCAGATAAAATGAAGATGAAAGAGTTTATAGATCAGAATAAATATGTGAGTGATCTAATGAGGAAATGCAAGAGCCGATACCACATCATTAATAAATACAGCCGACAGGGTGACATCAGCCAGTCTCAGGTTACAGAGCTGCTCAACACAGTAGATCAGATAGTTGCAGAAAACAAAGATCGGTGCTACACCAGCAAGATGTTGCCACAAGGAGACACCCACAATAAGTCTAACAACAGTGTCTCTAAGAATAAGATGATCAAATTGACAGGCTGTGCAGCAAAATCAGTGGCAAAGGCTTTTTCTGGACCAGCTGTTGTAGTTTTAACCCCAGGAACAACAAACAGAGCAGAGGAATTAATTGAACAGGAAGAAGCTATATCAGAAGTGAAAAACAAAGGTTCCCTGACAGAAATGACAAGCAAGGTAGATGGAGAAACAACAAAGAAAACAGGAGAAGAAGCAGAGAAGAAGAAAGAAGATCTTCTTCTCCAAGGAGAAAGAGAAGACGGCAATGTTGCTCGAAAAGCAGAAGAAGCAGGAGGACTGGAGTGCTTTGTTCGTTTTCTGTTTGGTGTAGTTGTAGCAGTAGGAGCACCATTATTAAAGGAGGGAGCTGTATTTATAGTATCAGTCATAGCAAGAGCGATAACATTAGTGGCTTCAGCTTTAGACTCTACACCAAACGCAGCAGGAACAACAGATGTAGACGCAGCAAGAGCTGGAGGGCCAGCAGCAAATGTGGTAGAAACACTTAGAAGAGCCTTAGGTGATGGTAACGTACCAGAATGGGTAGAATGGGTAATAGAAAAAATATTCAATTTATTAGAGTGGATAAGAAATGATTGTGACTTGTGGATAATTGTTTTCATCTCGTTACTTCTGACATGGTATCTTCTCAAAGTACCATTTTTTGGGACACTTCTGGTAATTTTGCTGTTTGCGTTTTTTTTTAAGATTCATGACATGATATAATTACAACACCAGACAGAACTGTATGATTGTGTGACTGGTTTAATTTAAAGACCAACATCATACATGTTTTAAAAGATACAGGATGCATGATATGGTCACAAATATTGTTTAAGTCATTGTTTCTTTTGTTTTTGTTTTCTTAAAAAGAGATATTCTACTCCATGAAGAAAAAACCCCAATTTTTTTCTCTTTGTCTATCTTTTTGTTGTAAAATCATATTTTCAACAGAAATTATTTTCCAAACATGTATACATGTCTTGTAGTTGATTCAGTTTACTATGGGTTACTGTACTTGTGTCTACCTTTAGATTATAAAGGTTTTTTTTGATTATAAAAACAAAAACATAATCCAATCAGAAATTAGTGTGAACTCAGTTTATGCTTTCTGTCTTACCATATTCTCTGTTCCACCAAAGAATTATAACTGCTTTTATGTAATGCTCTAAAAAAAAATGTAATAATATGGAATTAGTAAATACATCTTAACATATATTTTGTCTTTATTCTGTACGTCTTTGGGTATAGTGTATCAAGCTTGTGCAAGGTTTCTCTATTATGTATAAATAAGCAATAAAGCAAATAATTAACTGTGTTTTAGTTGCTTCCTTTAATCACACCTAAGGCTGAAACCAAAAACCCCAAAAACCTTATCTGGTGTCTCTATAATGACATCAAACTCTAAAAATCTTGGTGCATTATATATACAACATTATATATATACATTTTCAGAAATAGTGTAATGTAAAAAGTCTGTCTCTGTCCTTATGGACAGAGATAGACACAAATATATCCCATCAAGCCTGCTGGTGGGCAGCAAAGAATGCATATAATCCAAACCACTGATTTTTTATATATTTATTACGTTTTTGTCAGCTTGTAAAGTACACTTTTACTCTGCCGAATACAGAAACAAACAAGTAGCACTCGGAGAGTCAGAACTCACTAAAACTATGATGTTTTTAGTACAACATGCTGATGTCTGACCTTTGAACTATGACCTTAAAGCATTACATACTAAAATGGTGTGTATTATAATCTTTATACATATGACTGGAGCAGAACTAGTTGAAATCTTTGGCCTCTATGAGCTGTAAAAGCTTCAGATTTTAAGTTATATTCATGCAGTTGCGAAGCGTTATGGCGTCATTGTGATGTCACAGGGCATCCTTTTGAAACAAAGTATGTTGCGCAGCTCTCTCTCTCTCTCTCTCTCTCTCTCTCTCTCTCTCTCGCTAAGCCCTTTCATATGAGTAATTATTTATTTAATAAAAACTTAGTTAAAATGCAGAAAACTATATCCTTACTGCTTCCATATGAGTTACAGTTAGGATTTTTTTCTTTTCTTAATTTTGTTTTGTATTCCCACTGTAGTACATTTTAAATTATTTGTAATTGAAGTGCAGAAATCCAACTTTAATTCAAGTAATTTTGGATAAACTGTTTAGTAATTAAAGTGATTTTTCTATAAAAAAAAAAAAGGTCTTATCACACACAATACAACAACAGCACTGCTGAGCAATGAAAGACAATAATTTCCTGGTCGAGCAAAGTGTAGCATGGCACAATCACACCAATCAGGGAGCATTCACACATGGCGTGGTTTGACACATTTGCACTGTAAAAAAAAATGGGTATTGGCATATGCAGGACACATGCAGTAAAGACTATGTGAGGCCATTAAAAATCATGCGCAGTGCCAATTTTGGGTCTAATAGTCGGGGCAGTTTATCCTTCTTTCTTCTTTCTATGTGAAAGGGTAGAAACAGTAACTTATTTTAAGACACTCAAAATTAAATAAACAAACTCAAATCATTTTAACATAATAATTTGCCATCACAGCCACCTTCAGTTTACTTCAGTTCCTCCTTGTTTGTTGTTTGTTTTTGCTTTGTATTCAAAAAGTGAAAGCATCCTCTCTTGGAGCATTTGGGACAAACCAGTTCTGGGTAGAGGAAGTACTAAAAACAAGGAAGGAGGAAGAAAAACCAAGAATGAAAAAGATGCTTATGGTTTTAGAGTTTGTTGATCTGTGAAAGACGGATTGGGGCTGCAGCTGCAGTAATGCAGACGCTGCACCGGTCCGTCGTGGTGAAGAGGGAGCTGAGTGTAAAAGCGAAGCTCTCAATTTACCGGTCGATCTACGTCCCTACCCTCACCTATGGCCACGAGC